ATATTTGAACCAGTTCCCAGTTGGCTTGTTAGCTCAGTTGGTAGAGCACTACACCGGTATCGCAGAGGTCATGGGTTCTAATTCCGTACAGGCCTGAATTTGAAGATCGCTTTCATTCACGTTTTCACAATGTTCACACAACGCTGTAGTTGATTTCTACAAATTTTGAAATCAAATCCTACTCAAGATGCTGGCTTACATTTTTTGGTCGTTTTCAAAATCTCGAAATCTGAATTCTGACCTTTACCCTCGGAAATCAACAGGCTCAAATGAGAAAGATTTCAGGGCGTATCTTAAGCCAAATTTTTCCAATACTTTTTATGAGCATTCTGAACAACACATAATTTCACGTCGTTCATTTCACTTTTGTTGTTGTTGTTTTTTTACTTTTGTTTTGTTCTGTTTTGTTTTGTTTTTTTAATTTGGTTGGATAAACTAAAATTGGGAAGGAGTCTCAACAATATTTAAAAATTATTGTGTATACCAAACCGAAAAAAATGTAGCAAATAGGTAAACTCAAACAATTTTCAATACACCTAAAGTGTTGAAAAAACAAAATAAAAAATAAAAGCAAAATTGTTTCTAGATTCTTCTACTCCTCCCAAGTTGGAGCGAGGTAACCCCTAAAGTCAAGGAACGAGCCTTTTTCTCCTTTTTTCCTGGACTGTTCTGTAATTGCTAAAATTTCAGCTCACCTGCGTTTGTCATGGCGCTATTTGATTTACCTCTTTGCAAAGAGCATAAGTTTTCTCCAAGAAAAGATGTATCTTCCAAAATTTACCTCACTCATAACGTGTGGCTTTGTAGCTCAGTTTGCAGCATCGCCCAATTAGTATCTCGAATCCCGTCCGAGCCTGAATTTTTTTTAGTCAACTTTTCTGCAATTGGTAAAATTGCAGCTCACCTGCGAGGATCATGTATTTATTTGATTTTAATCCGCAAGTCAAAAGAAACTCATTTCATCACAAATACATCATATCGAAAAGTCGCGCAGTAAAATGAGCCTTCGTTTCGACAATAAAATGTTTCTAAATGTTTTGTTATACGCACTTAAAAAAAACATTTGAAGGACAATGACCAGAATATAACTGAAGCAAATATTAAAGGGCTATGAAGCGTCCTATAAAAGTAAATAGGCATAAGGGCGGAAGAGTTGACATTTACTTCCGTAGCTCAGTTGGTAGTAATATTCTGGGAGGCCTGGGTTCAAATCCCGTCCGAGCCTGAATTTTTCTTAGTCTTCCTTTTCTGCAATTGGTAAAATTGCAGCTTACCTGCAAGGATCATGTCTTTCTTTAATTTTACATCGGCAGCTCCAAAAAAATTAATTTTTTACAAATACACAGCTTAAACTTGCGCAAAGAAGAGAACCTTTGTTTTGACAATATACTGTTTGTAAATGATTGAAATGTAATAAACAAAATATCCCCTGTTTCACCTAACCATGTGTTCTCCAAGTGGAAGGGGAGAGGTGGGAATGTTTATTTTGAGCAGTCATTGTATGAAAAAAGTCCGAATTGATTATTTTTTCCTGATAATTGCTTACGTTAGGGGAAAGGCTCCATGAAAGGTGAATTTAAATGGGATCAGTAACGATTGAAATCGGATTTTCAATGCAGCCGATCGCATGGGCCAGTGGGCAATTAAAATTTAGAACCGAGTTTTGGTAAATACGCGATGTGATTTGTTCGATTTTGATCTGAATATTACGAACAAACAATATGTTCTTAAAGTGGGAGGGGGGAGTGGGAAGGAGGAGGTTGGAATTTGTTGATTTTGCTATTCTTGTTAACTTCAAATTTCTTTTCGACTGGCTGAGTTTTGAACTCTCCATCTTTCGGTAAATTGCGTCTCTCTGAACCCTTTTTGAAGCTAGTGGGATTAACAAAATTTTAATAGAAACTGAATCCCACTCCCACTAATAACAACGGCGATGGGATTTCTATTAAAATTTGAAACGGGGTCTTGGCAAATATGCCAGTTGGGATATAGGATTTGGATCCTGCCATTATGAGCTGTAAACTGGCCCCTCTGCAACGCATGGACTTAAGGGCAATTAAAATTTGAAACCAAGATTTAGTAAGTACGTGAGCTGAGATATTGGATTTGAGTCCCAACATTACAAATTGCTATAGTTTACACGTGTGACTGGGTCTGTATAAGCTTCTTAAAAATAAGTCTCATGGGATAAGCAATAAATGTTGTTTACTTACAGTTCAATCAACTTGGTGTTGTAGCTGAAGACTCCACGTGGTAGCTCTGCTATCTGATTGTCATGTAAATACCTACGTAAACGATATTAAGAAAGACAATAAAGCAAATTAATCATCTCATGAAGTTTTAAGACTTACAGAGTTTGCAAAGTACATCTGTAGGAATAGAAATTAACTCTTAACTTCTTTCCAGACTCCTCTTCTACTGAGGGAGACCCTTGGAATTTCGGCCAAATCCCTCGAGACCTTAGTTACCGGTCATCATTTATCGCTTAAGTGGCCGGAAGGGAAGAGTCAGAGGATTTGGTTTAAAATTGCAGCTCGCCTGCGAGAATGGTGCCTTTCTTTAAATTTACATCAGAATAATACACAGCCTAAACTTGCGCAAAGAAGAGAACCTTAGTTTTGACATAATACTGTTTGTAGATGATTCAAGTTTAATAAACAAAATATCTCTTTTTGACCTAACAGTGTGTTCTCTAAGTGGGAGGGGGGAGGTGGGAATGTTCATTTTGAACATTCATTTTATGGAAAAAAGTCCGAATTGATTATTTTTTCCTGATGATTGCTTGCGTTAGGGAAAGGCTTTGTGAAAGGTGAATTTTAACACGAAGGCGCGTTATAAATAGGTTGGCTCCTCCCCTTTGTTTTAACTTCGGCTTATGTCCCAAGCCCCTAATACAAACTGGTTCTTCGAGCCTTCAGATTATTCCCATTGAAACTAGCGGATTCATGACTCATTCTATGCGCAATGCTCAGACTATTGTTATCTGTGACAATTCTGTGACAAGACCTCTGAAGTATGGATGATTTCACAAGTAAGTGCCATTTTGAGACAGAATTTCACAACTCTAGTTCAGTTTGGGGAATAGTCTTGGCTGTCGCTACTCGAAAGATATATTTATTGGGAAATTTATTCGTTATGGCTGAGGGAAATAATCCATCTGTACCCAAGAAAAAGCGTCCAACGGATCGAGGTCCTCAGTTCTCGTTCAACATAGAAGTTCCTCGAACTCAGGAGAGCAGACTTCTCGGCATCAAAGACCGCATAAAGATGGCCAAAGGCTCGTTGAATCTTACAAAAGCGACGACAAGCACACAGAATGCAGATTTGATGGAAGCTCTTCTGTTAGCTCTTGAGGAGAAAATTGAGAGGAAATGACTGACATCGAGCGATCTGAGCTTATCATCAACGGGAAGTCCGAAATACACCATCCACAACTGCACGGTTTTCAATTCCTTTAGCTTCTTCCACTCCATCTTTGCGTATTTCTTTGCCTTTTGCTGATCCTTTTTCTCCAATTTCTCCTCCACAAGCAGAACGTACGTCACAAAGAATGCAAATCACTGCATCTTCAGCAGAGAACGACTCCATATATCTCTGCAGTAAAGAATCTCTGCGAACTCTGTTTTTTTTTTCTCTAATACGCTAACGACATCATGTTGTTATTGTGGAAAACCCCTCGGTTGTGAGTCACTTGTCTTCAATCGACAGAGTCATGTAGTGTCAGTGACAATTTCATGTGTTGGTGGAGATTCTTTCAAGTGGCTCTCCTCCCCTATCATGGGAGGATCTCCTCCAAAGTACTATGTAAATTTGAGGTGAGCACTCTTTTATTTTTGCTTGAAATTTACAGAAATTTGTTTTCTCGGTATTTTACAGTTTTTGTTTTTTGTAACTGGTCACTTCTCTGTCTCTCTTTCATAGATTGGTTCATGGAGTATTGTCCTGTGGCTTGACAGAGACAGAATACACAAGTTTCTGTCAAGCAGTCAACATCGGGTCAGAGGGAGAAAAGACCTCCAACACAGGTTAGCAATGCACATGCTCAGATGCTCAGATGCTCTGAAAATCATGTAGTCTTTCTCCTTGCAAGGAGAAGGCAGTCAACAGCAGTTTGCAGGTTGCTAAATCATGAATGTTTTACCAAGATAGCTCAAACTGACTGAACTGTTCCTTCTTTGGTTTGTGCCTTACCAGATACAATTCTAAAATACTTCTATTTTTAATCACTTCAACAGTCTTGAAAAAGCTCAGTTACTTGACAGTCGTGAAGAGGGTCTCCAATGAGTCGATGTTGGCTGCTCAAGAACAAGTGAAGAGTAACCCTGCATATGCTGTGAATGGAGAGGTACAAGTTGTCATTTTAATTTCATTTTGTCTTTGGCCACATACTTATACACCTGCCATACTCGGAATATATTATGTAGACTGGCACATACAAAAATATAAAATCTTATATCAGATTGTAAACCTTGAAAATATCTGTGAGTAGAGAAATGTGACCATTTTTATGTCTTGATTTCTACCATTTCTTCCTACAGTGTGTTATAACAGATGCAAGGCATGATTCCAGTCAATCAGCAGCACACACAACAGTGTCAGCCCTTTCTTTCTTGTGAGATGGTTTCTACTTGATCTTTTTGTATGATATGTTGACTTTGTATTACAGCTAAAAACACGGATCTTGTCAAAAGGAATGCTTAATTCCTTTGACTCTTGGCATGGTACTCAGTACACACTTGTATTTTTTGGCTCATTTTGTCTTGATGATTATGACTATTTCTTGAAAGTTAGCATTTTATTAGTATTAATTTTTTTTTTTCAGGTGCAAAGTCTGTAACTAAAGCAATGAAGGAAGTTGCCTCAGGGGCCCAGAGGGATGAGGGCTCAAAGTGGTTTTTTGAATTGTTCGACAAAGGTAAGATATCTCTCTTATGAGAGTCATCAAAAGCTATATTCTCTCCACAATTACCTGCAGATGTCAAATTCCTTCTTGATATAAGATGACTATAATGGAATATAATAATTCTGAATATTTTACAGTGAAAAGTACAAGGACTCTTGTATACTTCTGCATGAAGAACAGACCACCTGATGAAGAAGAATTTCAGGGTACACTGTTGAATGTAGTTGACCATTACAAGGTAATTTGAGTGACTGTTTATTGAGAACATAGTATTTTGTTTTCATTTCTGTAAGTACCTTTTGTTGTGTTATTCTAGTAAGATATGACATGATCATTACCTCAAAGATTGCACATATTTCTTTAATAATGGTGAACAAGAGACATTATACTTACTATAATTATTACTACTGATTTATTAATCTATTTTTCTATAACTTGGTGTATTTATTACTCAGGGAAATCATGTCAGATGCCATGCGGAGTCACGGTGCAAGCAGAATGGCTATGTGATGAGCAAAAAACTTTTAACTAAACCTGAAGTAGTAGCTGCATGCAGGGAAGCCATTATGGGCACTTCAATTTATGGGCATGCATCGGACTACATGCGGGTAATTAATTGACGCATGCTGTATGTTTATGTTTCTTTCCATGAAGAAGTTTATCTCTTTTTCCAAATTAATGATGTTGAGGTAAGGGCCATAAATGAGTTGAACAAATTCATTTTCCAGTTAAAGAAAAATCACCCATAATTTGTTGCCTTCTTCAGTGCAGGGAAACATATTGGATTGAGTCTCTCCATTCAGTGATGCTCATTTATGCTGCAAAGCGGATTCATTATGGGGATGACACATACAACATGTGCATGGAGTTAGCCATTCTTGATTGGGTAAGAAACTTATGTTGTTAATTCTGCTCAATTACTTTGGCACTTTTTGGATTCACTGCCTTCTCTTGCTCATTGACTCATTGTCTTACAGAATGAAAATGTGAATCGAGAAGCATCGTCTCTACAGATGTACCAACATACCAGGCATCCAAACTGCTTGGCAGAGACCAGGGTGCTTACTTCAAAGACATTTAATTTCAGAGAAACTATCTGGTCTACCTTTTTTAATATAAACAAATGATGTCTCTTCTGTTTTCCATTGCACCACAGTTTCTGTGATAATTACAACTAGGAGCCCAAATGTTCAGTATTAATATGTGAGGTCATTAGGGAGGACCAATTCTAACAACTGCTGGTACCAAGCAATGAAAACATGAATATTAAGTTTGACACAAGGTATTTCCAAGCAGACTCATTCTCTGTTTCCTCCTGTTACTTTTCTTTGCACTGTATATCTTTTCCTAACCTATAGGAAAGTCACTATAATTTGCTGTGTGGACATTGTAAAATGGACCATAAAAAAAATTGGGTACTTGGGCTCTCTTTGAGGTGGGCATTTGTATGAGAATTTTATCATTCCCTTTTATGCCCCATATAGGCAATACCAGGAGGGTTAGGAAACCTTGAGCTCACATCTTTTATAACACAATTGGGCATCCTTTCCCGCACTGCATTAACGTGGTCCCCCAGTTCGACTTTTCTAGCCTGGTAAAGAGGGTCTTTCCAGAGCCCACATTTGTTCAATGCTCTCCAGTACGTCTTCTAATCTTTTCTACGTCGCACGTGATTTTGAATATGTGCTTCGCGATAGCCAAGGTATTCGCGACTTTCGGTCGTTACACATGGCGTTTGCCAACAGTAAATACACATTTCGAACTCGTCCCCTCTTGCATCAGCTATTGTGGAGACAAAGTGAAATAACTGTTAGAGCGAAAGCTCAACTGAACGGTCATGAAGTCTGATATGATCGTACAACTAGTCTTCCCGCCTACATTTTATTTTGGACAATTTTTATGTACATTTTTCATGTTTAATTGACACGTATGCCCATGGTGTAGCATAAAATATCGCAATAAATATAACTTGTAGTTCTAAAGAAATAACTCCTTTCAAAACATTCTTAGGCAGGACAAAACATTCTTAGGCAGGACAAAACATTCTTAGGTGTCACAGGACAAAACATTCAAGGCTGCATTTCGGAAAATGAAGGCATCAAAACATTCTTAGGCAGGAAACAGTGTCACCCAAGGCTGCATTTCTGAAAATGAAGGCATCAAAAGGAAGCAGTGTTAGACATGAACCGTGGCATCATCTGTGGTTTGCAAGTATATTCTAACTAGTATTTCCTAGTTAGAAAAAAATCTGCAATTAGTTACCTCTAGAAAATTATTGCGTTACGCGAGTGTTTCAATCTTGGTGATACACTATCACAGTGATTGTTGGTATCGAACTGTAGTCCTAAGTTACCTTTCTAATGTATTGTTCCAAAGGTTAAAAATCATTCAGTATTGTTGTAATCATATTATACTTAGATTAAAAAAAAAGAAAAATAAATCGCACCATTTGTGGAGGAAGCCCGTACAGATGGTTCATTTGGCGACATCGATGCCTGAACATGTCCAAGTGAATCGGTGGTTGGCGTCGGTTCACTCGCGCGCTCCAGAACTTCGTCTGCAATGGTCGCTCTGCTTTTATTTTTCTTCCGTTGGGTTAACAGCACTTCCCCTTTGCATTATTGAAGAAATGCCTTGAACATTTCTTCATCTTTTCTTTTTATTCTAACGGTCATCTACATCCAGTATTTAAGAACAGACATGAAATTACGTCATGGCAATTTTAGGCGATGGCGAAGCGAATCATTTCGAATTTCAAATTTACCGCCACAAATGAAGAAGGTTTCGATCGGAAGAAGGTACTACAAACCTCAAAAAATTCTTCCATTGTGATGAAAACGTAGAAATTTACCGAGAAATGCGCTTCTGGTCAGTGCCTTGCATTGGCTGCAGCTCAAGCTGTTTTGGAGTTCTGTATGCCACGACGGTTGATTGACAAATGATTCAGAGGGACCTAAGGCACCTCTCCTTTTATGGCGCGCCTTCGTGTAACGATTGAAATCGGATTTCTGGTTAATTATAAAACTGTGAATAGACCTTTTTACAGTTCCCAGCGCCATATTGGAAATGCAACCGCGCACACGTGAGAACGAGGCTGGGGTTGACTCGCGTTAAATCTCTGTGAGCGCTTTTGGTGAAATTCGTACATGGGCAGTAAAATTGTTCGATTTTTAAGGAAAATGGATGGTCCTAGCCGAAATCTCGATAAAGCTAATTTTTCTCCCAAAAAGAAAGGAAAGCAGTGTGCCGCTTTTGGTTGTTCAAATACATTTTATGGCCCTAATGGTTTGCCTACGAGCTTTCACTTCTTCAAGTTTATGCACGCAGGCATGTATTTTTGCTAAGTATTTGTCGTTCTATACTTATCTTATTTTCTGTAAATTATGGATGAGGGTAACTATTGTTGCAAAATTAGAACAAATTTTCTAGTAGGTACCTGAATTTTTTTAAGTTCAGTAGAGTATTTTTTTATTTCGGCAGCAAGTCAAGAAGTTCAGTGCTAATCACCTGTTTACTACAAGGTTTGACTAGAACACTCCTAGCAGAGAAACTCTTGGAAAGTAATTGCTTTTAATAAAATAACCAAGACACTGTATCTTCAGAGTTTTCACTTGTTATGGCAGACCCAGAAAACTGACTCAAATTTGGTAGCAATTGTGACAAAAGCAGTTTTCCGTAGTTGTTGTTTTTGTTTTTTTATGATAGCATGGCAATCCACTATGGATGCCACATGGAACTCTCAAAAATATTTTGTGTGCTTTATGTATCAATCAATTTGATGCTTCAAACTGAAAAAAAGAAAAAGTGAGTTTCACCAACTAAAAGAGTTCTTGACACAAAGATGAACTATGACACTAAATTTTATTATTCACAAAATTGTCCTCATAATAAAAAGTTTGATAGAAGTATCACAAAAAATAATTTCTCATACATTTCAATGGTCTGAAAGATTCTCTTTCAAACAAATCAAATGGTATCTATAACAGGATAAAATATATATCTTGATTTGGATATATTTCTCAATCTTTAAAGTATCTTCTTTACATTGCAAAATTATATCATAACATTGGTTAACACAATGCAATAAGAACTATTATAGCAAACTTTTGAGTCAGAAGGCCTCTGAGTGCTAAGAATGGGAATATCAATTCACTGAATGTTTATCACCGATGGAAACTTAAATGTGTGTAAAGGACTAGCATTGTTGAGATCAGTAGCTGAGAGGAAGCATTTCTGTTCTCTTCCTTTAACCCTTAAATACCCAAGATCTGATTGTCAATTCTCCCCTCTAGTTGCTACACATTTACTTGTAAATAAGTTATGAGAATTTGATGTAAGATCAAGATAACTTCTGCCTGATAAGTTTCAGTATTAACATTATCTGTTTGCTGGATAATGTTTGGAAAAGTTACATGAATCAGTCACTTCTGTGAGTTTTTAAATTGTCTAATATTTTGGTCTAATTCTTTCAATGGTGTCTTGCCACCTAATAAATTACCATGAGTCGCAAACTGAAATGGTTTTCAATGTATCACGAGCAAAAGTTGTCCTGAACCAGATCGGTATGAAAATATTATGACATCTGTTAGTTACAGTTTTCCTCATGGGTTGATAGAAACAAGGAATGTAATCAAGTTGTTCTACGGGCTCTATTGTATAGTTTCCCATAAGATAAAATGTACAAATGGCAAACTAAAAGACATCTTGGTGAACAAAATGGGAACAATTTTAACTGAAGAATATGATACAACAAGTACCACATCAACAACAGCAGCAATAACAAATCTCCTCTACCTAGAAGGCTGCAGCCGTTGCCTCGCTTTCTAAGCCATCCTGAACAGCTTCTATGGTACTTCCTTTAATGCGTTCTTCTCAACACGATGTGGCGATATTCTCGTGAAACAACGGGGTAATCGTAAAGCTGATTGAAATTCATCTTAGGTCAATTGCGGAGATTACTCGCCCATCCAAGGGCTGAAATCCTTACCATTGTTACTTCGTATCTGAAGTCGCTCTGGTTTTGTTCTAAGTCCTGGACATCTGTAAGAAGTTCTCGGTTTTCTCCACTACTCGATGGAAGGACGTGTCACATCAGCAAGCATAAACTTGCAACACTAAGTCGACTCTAATTCAGCCCGTCGACTTTAAATTAGATTTTAAAATCTCCCTGAGATCTTTTGCTTCGAGTTTCTGGATGTCATCTAATGACGAAATTTTCATATTGTTGTGTTAAAGAACTATTTTGAAGGGAGAAATCGCATTGAAAAGTGCACTAGATCGTGAAATGTCAGCAGATCAGCTGTATGAAAGAACCGCTGGGTCAAACCCAGCCTCGTTATCGTGTACGCGCGGTTACTAATCCAATATGGCGCCAGGAACTGTAAAAAGGTCTATTGATAATAAAGGTAAACTTTTTAAAAATGTTTTGTGATTGATGTATTACTTCGGATTAGGTGATGATATGGTCGCAGTAAATTAGATTAACGTAACGCAATTTGCATCCATACCACCATTTTCTTTTTTAAACAGTGGGATTTATAATAATCTAAATGGGATTTCTATTAACATTTGAAACTGTGTTTTGGAACATGTGCGAGTTGGGATATAGGATTTGAATCCTGCCACCTCAATCTTAACAATTTTAATGCTTCAAGGATGTGATAGGATCTCTATTAGTCCCTTACAAATATGTGTGGTGCAACACGAGAAGGATGTTTTTTCACTAACAACTCTTGCAGCCTGACAAAAGGAGTAGTCAATTACCACGAAATTTCTTGATGTTGTTTTTGTATAAAAATTTATAGCTATTTTAATACTTTTTCCTTAGAACAACTCATTGTAACCAGTCAGACAGATGTGCTCGCATATGCAAACAAAATAGATGCCAGAAAAATGCGGAATTGGTCACCAGCGATAGTTAGGAGGACATCCGTGCAAAAATCAAACAAAAACGACATTTTTATGGCAAGGGTCAAAAATTCAAATTGTCTCAATTTTTGCACACAAGTAGATCCTAGTAAGACAAGAAAGGCTGTGTATTTTTTTCCTCAAATGTATTTTAATTTTCGAGAAAAACGAACCTTTCGCTTTCACACTCTGGAATCGATGAATCGGGTCATATTAAACAGGTCGAAAATTGAACACTCGCAGAAGTGATTTTTACGGGATTCCAGCTCAACTTCAAGGTGTCAGCCCAGCCCTAACCATAGCAGAAGCAATTTTCAGTATGCCGAATGATGAATTTTCTGGCAAAGTTTTCTCCAAACTTGAGTGATGTGGTCAAGGCTTTAAGAAAATTCACCTACAAAGACGTTCCCTTCCAGTGGACTGACTCACATGGCAAAGCTTTTGTTGAGTCCAAGAAGCTTATCGCTCAGGGCCCTGTTTTGTGTCATTTCAGTCCTCAGTTGCCTATACTACTTCAAGTGGATGTGTCTAGTGTTGGCGTTGGTGGAGGGTTCTGGAAAAATGTGAACTCGTCGCAAAAGGAAAAAGACTGTCTGATGAAAAGCGGAAGTGGTGCAAGCTAATATTTCAAGTCTCTCTACTATATTTTGTACTGCTTAGGTCGGGTACAAAACATGATTATGTACGCCGTAAAGAAAATGGGCGGAAGAAAAACTTTCCCAGGCAAAAGACAACAGAGAAATGTGTCCTTGTATT